ACTTTTTTTTCGCCCGAAACCTCGAAGCGCAAATCCCGCCTGCCTTTCGGCCTTTTTTCCCAAGAGAAGCTAAAGAGATCCTCCCACCTCAGCCTCCTGAGTAGCTGGGACAATAGGCACGTACCACCACGTCCAGCTAATTTTTGTTGTTGTTGCTTTTGTAGAGATGGGATCTCACTATGTTGCCCAGGCTGGTCTCGAATTCCTGGCTTCAAGTGATCCTCCTGCTTCGGCCTCTAGAAGTGCTGGGATTACAGGCTACAGCCACTGTGCCCAGCCTGAAATTCAAATTTTAATGTTGGTAAATAAAGTATTTATTGGAACACAGCCATGCTCACAGTCATTTACTATTGTCTATGGCTGGTTTTGTGCTACAACAGCAGAACTGAACAGCTGTGACAAAGACTGAAATATTTACTATCTGGCCCTTTATGGAAAAAATTTGCTGACTCCTATGATAGCAAGGTCAGGAGAAAACTGAAAAATGGAATACAAAGTAAGCACTATATTCTATATTTTCGTATTTAATTAGCACTATACTAGGCACTTTAAATGATTCATCTCATTTTGTTTTCAGAAAACTATTAGGAAATTTGGATTATTATTCCTATTTCACAGATGAAGTAACTCAGGCTAACTTACTCCAGTTTGCACAATTAGTATTTTCAGAAAATTCTTCTAAGTTTGTGTACAGAAATAACAATAATAATATTTTGTAAAAAACAAAAATGTTTTGACCCTGAGGCTAAGGCATCCTCAGGGTCTTAAAAGTGTGTTTTACACACTTTTAATTCTCTTTCCTTCTGCCTAAAGCACTATTTGAGGCAATTTATTTATTAATTATTTTTTTTTTTTTTTGAACAGTCTACTGGTTCCCGTGCTAGAGTGCCGTGGCATCAGCGCTAGCTTCACAGCACCTCAAACTCCTGGCTCAACGCAATCCGTTCCTGCCTCAGCTCACCGAGTAGCTGGGACTACAGGCATGTGCCACCATGCTCACCTACATTTTTTCTATATAATTTTTTAGTTGGCCAATCAATTTGTTTCGATTCTTGTAAGAGATGGGGTCCTTGCTCTTCTCAGGTTGGTTCAAACTCCTGAACATAGTGATCCTCACCTCCAGCCTCCGTGCTTGGCCATGGCCAAATCTCAAAATGATTAGCTGCTAGCAAAATCATGATCACTCTCTGTGGTATTTGTCCTCTTTCAGCTGACCTTCTTATTTTCTGGGACTTGTCTCTACTGGAGCAGAAACTCCTCTACCTGGTATTTTCCTTCTTGTGTCCTTGCTCATGATGATCCAGAACTGCGAGAGCCGTCAGAGAGTGCAGCCTCAAAGCGCGCAGATCCCCGAGTGAGCCAGGAATGCGGCAAGTGTACCGACAGCCGTGTACTGCATGGCAGTCAGAGAAGCGCTGGTGAATGCGGAGGAGAGGGCGTTGAGAGCTTCCTGTAAGAGGAGCCTCTGCTGGATCCACACTGCTGTACTCCACTCCCAGCAACTGAACCCACCTACGGTTTAGGGACCGAGTCTAGTTTAGACCCGCACCAGGAATAGGGAGCCCTAGCCCCAGACACGCAGCTCCATGCGAAAGGTCATCCACCAATACAACATTTCTTTTGCGTGCTAAGCACAGAATCCGCTCCGTCCCGGTACCTGAGAGATGTTCGGAGGTAGAACAGGAACACATCCAGGGGAGGAGATCAGTGCCAATTGGCAATATCCCATCAGGGTTCATGCCTGGCCTGGCGCCGATGGGAAAGGGGGGGGGGGTGAGCACACAACGAGGTGAGAACCAGCGCTCGAGGCTTTTCCCAGAAGTCTGAGGAACATACGCAGCAGCTTTCCTTGGGCAGAACGAGGGCCCCAGGTTCTCCAGCAGGGCTTTAGGAACCAGCAATCTGATTGACATTAAGAAGGGGAAAGGGAGCTTAAGAACTAGGGTGTATAACATTTCACCTACAGATTGCAGACAGCATTCATTTCTTCATAATAAATTGTTAGACTGGCCG